GAAGAGGTGGTCCGGTGAATACTTATGCGAGCTCCAAAGAAGGTATAAGTGGGCTGACAAGTGGGAAAATATAAAACCTGGAACCCTGGTTCTATTAAAGGAAGATAACCTTCCACCCCTTTCCTGGAGGCGCGGCAGGGTCATCCGAACTATAATGGGTTCGGATGGATTGTGCCGTATGATAGACGTAAGGACAAGCAATGGAGAAACGAAAAGATCGGTCCACAATGTTTGTCCTTTTCCTATCGACGATAATGATATTGATCATGATAAAGCGGGAGCAGTCAAAACAATTCCCGTAATGAAAAATAATGGTGGCTCGGTCGAATCGGCCACATCAATTAAAGATAAGGGTAGAAAATTCAAAGCAAAAGATCTATTCTTATATATTTTATTTATGCTAACAATATGTAACCCAGTTAAGAGTCAAGTAGAGGTAACTAATTTTGAAGATAGGGCTGGCGTGTTTTTTGAGGAAGTTGTTGCTGTCGGCCTGACTAAATCATCTTGGAATATTGTGGCGCACGTGAAAATGACTGAGTATACGTCTGGGATAAAGGCGTTAGACGAAGCAGTAAAAAAATTCAACGAGGATGTGATGAGAATACCCGAAATGAAGCAGTTAAAGTGCATTCAGCGGTTGCAAGAAGCCCATGACCGCATGAGGAATCAACATGACGTTATAATGTCGTCAGCTCCAGTTCAAAGAATTAGAAGGTCGGCGGTGCCGTTTGTTGGTAGCATATTTCGCTCGCTATTTGGCTTGATGGACGAAGAGCATGCTGATGATCTGGTCAAGAGAATTACAATGGTCGAAGATAACCAAAAATCCTTGGTAGAGTTGTTAGACAATCAGACATCTCTCCAGGACATTACGACCAGAATAATAAAGGAGCAGAATCAGGCCGTGTTTACAAACATTGCAAATTTAGATGAATCTCTTGGAGAGCTGAGTAAAAAAATCGACGAGATCAACAGGAGAGAGAGCGTGGCTATGAAGGCGACGGAAGCGTTGTCTGCTATCCAAGATGTGGAGATCGTACAAAGAGATCTTATTGAGGCAATGGTTAATGTTCGGGGTAGCTTTCTTCATGAAATTCTTCCCGTGAAAGTCTTCAAGCAGCAGATCCAGGTCATAAAATCATCTATTGGAAGAAGATTACACCTGCCAACCGAGTCTCCGATCGAGCTAGCAAAAATTGCTGATGTGTCGACCAGAACAACTGAAGAATATATGTTGTTCAATATCCGCCTTCCTCTGATAAACACTGATCAATTTACCGCTTATGCAATACAGTCCTATCCAGTCGTACAGGACGGGTTGTCTGTTCAGTTAAAGGCTCACAGCAATTACCTATTGATAGATGAAAAGAAAACAACATTTTACGCCCTCACAGAAGACGACTTTGCCAGATGTCAAAAAATGGACAGAATGATCATATGCCAGCAATTGCATCCCATCTATAATACAAGAGAAGCCACTGAATGTGAAGTTAGGTTGTTTTTAAAACCGAACCAAATGCCTGAGAGTTGTGACTTCGCCATTACAAAGTTTCACAACTTCTGGAAGCAACTTCGAACACCCAATATGTGGGTATTCTCAGTTACGAGCGGTACCGTCACAGAAGTCAAATGTGGTGGTAAGCGACAAAATACTAGAATTCGAAATCAAGGATTACTAAGAATGCAGCCGGGTTGTACGTTAGAGACTGAAGAGATGAAGTTGTGGGCGCACGAGAATTACCGCAGTGAAGTCAACTACGTTTTTCCGCAATTCAACATTTCCGCATCCCTGCCATCTCTCACCCATCTATCTTTGAAGAATAAAATCGAAGTCTACAAATTACCTGACATTCCGCAAGTTAAACGGTTTCTGGGTTTTCCTGTTCATCTCGATACGCATCACCTAATGCACTACAGTCTCAACTTTACAACGTGCCTTTTCATCGCGGGTATCATCATTGCGCTGTACTTGGTTATCCGAAGGTTGTATCATCTATCCAGCCGTTACCTGCCGGTGTCTATCGCCCTTCCTCAAATTAGATAGGGTAGTTGTATATAAAAGTTTGATGAATGTAATTAGAAGATAGTTATGTTTATATCTGTATATTATTCTGAATAACTAAAAGAAATATATATCGGGAACTAAAGTGTAACAGATACTATTAACATATATTAGTCAAATAATCAATCTTCCAAAAAATGATAATGTATAGTAACGGTTGTAAGATAAGGAATAAAGAAGATCGCTAAAATTAAAATAAATGTTAGAACTTAAGAATTTGATAAAGTCATTTTCATATTAAAACTTTCATTGTCATGGGTATATTTTTTAATATGATGTAGTTGCTCTCCATGTTATGTTGCTTTGAATTGTGTAAAATTAATATATTGACAACTAAAATAATTGGTCAAGTACTGCATTGCATATTTACAAGATACAATCTCTTATTTATAAGTTGTTGGAAAATTACAATCTTCCAAGGCCGGGAGCATGTACAGTTTTGTAGATAGGCTGAACGTACACCAGAAAACAGCCACGGTTGTCTTCTTCCTAGAATACTTAAATGATTTTGTTACATGTGTAGTCTGTTTGGGTCAGTCATAAATATTGTATTGATGATAAGGAAATGTCTCGCCCAACTAGTTGTCTTAAGGATAAAAGGTTTTATTACCCGCCATGCTGTGTGTACGTGGGGTGCATTTATTACCCCTAGCATTTATGACTGCATTGTGGGAATTTACTTTAAGGTAGAGTGTCTAGGTACAGCATGCATCCTAATGGCTGTTGAAGTATTTGTTATGTACTCTAATAAATAAGTGTATTGGTATTTGTAGTTTTAGTGATAGTTTAAAGATATGATAAAAAATAAAGTTAGTTCCCTTAGAACATTCAACGAAACGACATCGAGCGGTTTTATTTAATTTTCTCCCCCTAACAATAAGTCAAATTGAAAAAAATATGAAAAAATAAAAAATGTCAGAAAATACAAAAGATCTATATTAAGATCATTTTTGACTTATTTTTAAGCGATTTTTTTTAGATTTTATACTTTTATGTCAAGAGCGCGTTCTGAATTGGCAAAATTTGTCAAAATCGGTCCAGCCATTCTTGAGATATAAGCTTTCCATCTAACATTCCTTTCCTTTGTATATATTCATTGTATATATTTCGCTATATATATCCGATATATTTACTATCGGTATCTACATAACGGTCAGAATCGACCTGTTCGTCTATTTATGATTTCGCCGGGACTAAAAATATTCGCGGTTTCATAGAAAATTTCACTTATATTTAACACAAATGTTGTGGCCTATTTCACCCGCTAAATATTACCCGATGACCATCAAAATTGGAAGGCTTCAGCCCAGCCCAAAGCTCTAGCTCCATGCTTATTTCCGCGTCGATTGGTCCATAATTGTGACCTGTAGAGCAACTGTAAAATCAAGAAAATTTTTTTTTTGGTCCATTTCGACCCCTAAATATTATGCGATCATCTCCAAAAGAAATAGGGTTCTATTCTGACCTTGACCCCACCTCCATTCTAAATTTCGTGAAGATCGGGCCATAATTGCGACCTGTAGAGTGATTACAAATTAACATGGACAGACGGACAGACGGACGGACGGACATACATAGCTAGATCGACTCAGTTCGGCGAGATAGGAAGATCCATACATACTTTCCTATGTGGGAAACCAATATTTCGTGGTGTTACATAATTTTTGGCCCAATCAAACTTATAATACCCCCAACACAAAGTGTTGTAGGGTGTAATTACAAACTATTTATTGGAGTGCTTTCTGACCGAATATTATTTTTTTGTTCACAAAATCCTCAGTAAAATAACTACGGCTTAAATCATATAGAGTCTCTGAAAATTAACAAGGAAAAAAGCTGTAAGTTCCACCATTCGGTACAAATTTGGCAAATTCAAAAAAAAAAAAAAAAAAAAAAAAAAAAAAACGGTTAAAAATTCTGTAAAAATCTTAAAAATACCGAATGCCTATACGACGACGTGGACCTGCATAGGTAACTTTTGTCATAAGTTATTACAATATTTAAATGCGAAACTTGAAGAAAAATCTGTTTATAATGTAGCTAAAATCATCAAAATACCGAATATAGCAGGTACCGTTATATGGGGGCTATACGAAGACGTGGACCTGCACAGACAATTTTCTGGCATGGGATGAAGTATCCATTACGAACTTCACATGCGAAATTTGAAACAATTCCGGTAAATAATGTCGCTACAATCATCAAAACACCGAATATCGGGGGGTACGATATATGGGGGCTATACGAAAACGTGGATCTACATGACCAATTTTCTGTTTTATGCTGCAGTATCTATTACGAACAAATAACAAATTTGGAACAATTCCGTTAAAAAATGTCGCTAAAATCATCAAAATACCGAATATCGGCGGGTACCGTTATATGGGGGCTATACGAAGACGTGGACCTGCACAGATAATTTTCTGTCTCAGGCTGTAGTATCCATTACGAACTTCAAATGCCAAATTTGAAACAATTCCGGTGAATAATGTAGCTAAAATAATCAAAATATCGAACATTGGGAGGTACCGTTATATGGGGGCTATATAATAACTTGGACCTACATGGCCCATTTACGAACTTAACCTGTCTACTGGTAAAATATACATGTGTGCAAAATTTTAGCCTTCTATCTCAATTTGTTCGAAAGATAGCGTGATTACAACTGACAGACAGACAGACATTCATGGCTAAATCGTCTTAGAATTTTACGCTGATCAAGAATATATATACTTTGTTGGGTCTGACATGAGTATTTCGAGTAGTTACAAACGGAATGACAAAATTAATATACCCCCCATAGTATGGTGGAGATTATAAAAATGAATTAAGAAGCCGTTAAATAACCTTATATAATATTGTTTAATTATGCATAACTAGTATTTAATTCAGAAAAATGATAAATAAATATACAAAATAAATTTGATTTTCTTACCTTAGATCGAATTTGTTCTAAGACCTCGGCAAAATCACCTTGCTGACAGGCATGCATTAAACTGGTACAGCCCTGAGACAGACGGTCCACTCCCCCAACATTGGCAACTTTGGATTCGAAACTTTGTTGTAAATTATTAGTTCTAGGTGGAATATCACTGGCTAAATTATTACACGATTTCACGGTCAATATATCACCGCGCATTTCAATGCTTCCGTTAAATTCATGATTCAAACTTTCCGGCGGATAACTAAGTCTAGTCGCCGACTTTAGTGTCACAATTGGTGTATCGACTCGTGTCTCATGACGTTGAACTAATATCGATGGCTTAACTTGTGATGGCTGAGGATGAACTATTGTTGGCAATGCTGGATTAGATGATTGTGGTTGTTGTTGTTGTTGCTGTTCGACATCTTTTTCGTTGTGTTGTTGACACATTAGAAGGGGACTTTGGAATTGTAAACGTTTCTTTTTCGTTGATTGTTCTTTAATGGCGGTTCTACTACTTTGAGCATGCAGACGTGGCGGCTTTGGTGGGCCTTGAAATTTCATTTCCTTTATTTCCATTTCCATGCTCTATTTGTGGGATTTTTGCACTTTTTTTCTCAAACTCAATTCTCACACTACGTTATCACTTTTTCTTTTATTGCCTTTTCATTCTTAGGATTTATATGTTTCAGTTTTCTATGATATACATACAACCAGAGCCACAAACATAACGCAAAGTTAACTAACCCACATTATTTCTGTATCCTGATTTCCTTTTCCAATATCGAATGTACTTACGCAAGTTCCTCAACAATCTTATCCGGGATAGAGGGGAGCCATCATCTTACGGAATGTTCAACGAAGCATTCACACCTTAACGTACTTAAATTTCCTAGCGAAATTAAATTTTGTAACGCTAAACTAGAATTTAATTGTTTATTAGGTTCGAAGAAATCAAAAAGTGGAAAATGGGAAACGTAGCCTTAACCGTAACATAGGGTTTACAGGAAAATGATGCACGCGTAGGCGTGAAAGTATTTACATGTACTAAAATTGAATACTTTGTATTGAACAAACGGAATGAGCTAGAATTCTAAAATCGGAAACAAGTGTCACTGATGGAGTGCAAAATAGGTTTATCAAATGATTTTGGAAATTTGAAATTTACGAAACTTTTAAAATGGTACCATTTGGTATTATGTGAACGGATAGACCTAAAAACTTGAAATTTGGTATGAGAATCAAGATTGAGAATCAAGTTTCATATATGAAGATGGTTTAGGAAATGTGAACTAAGTGTGAGAACTGCAATGTATAACACAAAATTTGGCCCACTTCGGTTTAGGGTGAACGGTTGAAGTTAGAATTTTAAAATTTTGTATTGGGGCCATTGTTGGTGGTAGGTTTGTGATAATGACGTAGATTTAGAAATGGGTACTACAAGGTACTACATAATTGGTACAATTTGGTATAGGGTTAACAGATAATGCTTGAAATCTAAAATTTGGTATAACGGTCGCTGGTCATGTATAGCCTGGATGTATACAGGTGTTTTCGGGAATGTGTAGCAATTTCGTACGAAAACAAGTTAAAAAGTATCAGTCGGTTTTGCCGACAGATGTATACCCTCAGCCAATATTCGACTATTTAAGTATATTTTGAATTCTGTTATGAATATTCAAATTCTGAAGGAATGGACCAATATTTTCCATTTCGTATCGGAACTAAATAAATATCATATAAATGTTGCGACGTGCCAGTTTTAGATTATATTGGTTACTTTCTTCACTTTATATGAGATATAATTTTAAGAAAATGTTATAGTCGACCGAAGTATTCCATTTTCATACTTCATCTAATACAGAAGAAAATATTGGTATGTGCAAAATTACAAGAAAATCGAACATTTATTTTCAATTTTATGCGAAATCATAAATTTCATATTCATCTCAGGTTTTCGGTTGTGTGAAATATTTACATATAGCTAGTTGTGAAGAATCGCTAATTTGTGTCTCAAATTATGACAGATAAAAGAATTCAAAATTGTGACCCTTTGTGGTTGAGGTAACAGAAGTGTGAATTTGAAGACAGTTAGATGCTTATTTCGCTTTCTTTAAGCGTTTTGTTTTTCAAAATCTTGAACCCTATGTGGGAGAGGTACCAGAAGAAATGTTTCAATTTCTATTTCATCTACCATTACAGATATTGTATTCATAGAAATATTGAGACATCCCAAGTCTGAATGGAATCGGATGTTAATTACGCGTTTTATAAGCTTCATGGGTATTCAAAATGTTGGCCCTTTGTTCGAAAAGTACTAAATAGTACTAATTTTAGTGTCTAGGATGGATGTATGTAGATTGTTTTGGATATACGCAATAAGTAGCGCATTGTGCTTATTAAAAATATTACGGCATTCGAGAGATATTATCCGCACCAAACAGACGACATACGGACGGGGGTACACCCCTAGATTGATTCCAAATGTCCTGAAGTGGTTTTGTTCCAAAAAGACCCAGGGTCTAATACGTTATTACGATGAGGTACTTATAGGCCTTATCAAATGAAATATACTCTCTGTATCTATATGACTGAGGTTATAAATATTCCACGATTATAGCTCAAAAGTTCTTGCCTTGATCTGGCTCTAATGGTCCTTGGAAAAATATTGATAAAAACCAAACAAAAAAAAAAAAAAATTTGTTGTCGTACTTGGAAGTAACAAATAGTCGTAAAAATTGTTAATAATAAATAAGGTGCTGAAAAAAAATATTCTTGAAAAAACACCAAGGTTATAGCCCTATGAAATGATCTTCCAAATTCCAGGATCATTCATTTGTTTGTCCTGGATAGAAATCTTTTTAAAAGTCCATAAATTCTTAATAAGAGAAGCATATGTCTCTTAAAATATATTATTTAAAAGCCCAAAATTTAGCTTTGCTAGCGCTTGAAAATTTTTTTAAAAAGCTAGAAGAAAGACCCCTATAAACTTGCCGGTGTGGTTCACATGGTCCTGGAAAAATATTCCTGAATATATTCTTTGTAAAATGTTTTAAAAATGATGTTCCTTGAAAAATGATGTTCCTTGAAAAAATATGCAAAATATGTCTTAGAAATCCACAAATATAGCTCCAGAGGTCCTTGAAAAATGATTTTTACAAAATCCACGATTATAGCTCCGTTACTCCTTGAATTAATATAACTAAAAACAACAAATATAGGTCTAGAGTTCCTTGAAGAAAATATGTTTAAAAAATAAAAAAGTCAAAGATCATTGATATCTGAGTCTTTAAACAAATTGACGATTCGCGATTATAGCTTCCTTGGTCCTTAAAAAATATATCAACGTTGTATCTTTATTGTTCCACAATTTTAGCTCTGTTGGCACTTGAGTAAATATATTTGAAAAATCCAAGATTATAGCTTTCTTGGTTCTTTAAAAAATATTTTTTTTTTAAAAAATCAAGATTGTAGTTCTATTGGTCCTCGAACAAATATATTTGAAAAACTTAGGATTATAACCCTCTTGACCCTTAAGTAGATATATTTCAAAAATCTTCTTTGTAAAAATTATTTAAAAATCCACGGTTGTAGCTCTTTTGATCCATTAATACATATATTAGAAAATCTCACGGTTATAGCTCTGTAGGTCCTTGAAAAAATATAATTAAAAAATTCACGATTGTAACTCTGTGGGTCCTTGGAAAAATCCACGCTTTGTTTCGGTACATCCTTTTAATTCCTGCTGCTTCAACCGCCGCCAACTCAGGAAAAGAGAGTGAGTAGACTTTTTCCAATTTGGATTTTCTTGTCTACTAGTTTTACACTTTTTCCACACAGAGTCGCTGGGATATTTGATCAGTATCAAACACAGCCATCCAGCTTTATAGGGGAATACATGAAAACATGTTTGCATTTTTTGCTACAAATTCATACATATATATATATATATGCTATGTGTGGGAGTAATCGCGAATGAATATATGTATGTATGTGTGTGTGCGGGGAAATGTGTAAAATTTAATGCTAATGTGATAACTACTTACACTCCACTTAGATTCAGTGGAAAATTTTAACGACATTAGCACAAGGCGAAGGAAGAATGGAAGACGGAAGACATATTTGGAGCGACGACTCATGACGCTTAAATAATTAATTTCACAACACGAAACGTGTTGTAATTCACGCCTGACGCGTTATAAAATTGTATCGAGCAGCATCTCGGCGGCTACGAACGAAGAGGGAAGCGGTGAGGAGAGGGGTAAAAATAAGGCTTTGTTATGCAGCTTCATTGTCAACGTGCTGCATGACTCTAATGTCACAAGAAGATGTTCCCCCGAACTTCAAACCATCCCCCCCCCTTCATGGCCTTAAACCTCTGGGCCTTTGTGCTCCATTGAAGCTGTAAATTAAATCATGTGTAATAAAGTTTAATGATGATTGAACATGAAATTAATTTCATCTTCCGTTATTTTTCCTCTGATTATTTTCGCCATTCATTCGCTGGCTGATCCTTTCGGTAGCTTGTAGATTTTTGTTTTTTCTTTGTGCAAACTTAAATTTACTGCAAAAGGATTACTGGCAGACAATACAACATTGGCAACTAACAACATAATGACGACAATCATTGTTCGCTTCAGCAATTTTCCTCAAGCTAACGCTGAGCTACACACATACACACGCACACAGAATGGAAAAGATTTTCTCAAGTGGAAAAGGCATTCATTCATATTCTGCTGCGATGAATGAGAAGCAAAAAAAAAAACATACACACGAAGACAAAGAACAGAGGATTATTTTTGTTGTAAGCCTCAAAAATAGATTACAGCAATTGGATAAGAGACACATAATGCCAACACCTATTATTGCCATTGATTGTAGGGGGAGGGAGTATTGGGGGATTGAAAGATAAATTCCCAATCATAACAAACAAAGACTGAGGCATATAAAACACATTTTTTGACAATTCATTGGCCAGGTGGTATTCCCATAAAGAATTTTCTTTTCATCAATGAATTTTAAAGCAGATGTAAGGAAAAAAAGTCGATGTCCTTAAATTTACAACGACAGCTGTCTGGCATGGCATCAAAGCCAAACCTTACAATGACATTTCCAAGGAAAAACTTCTTTGTAAAAAGATTGCAAACCGCAGATACCAATGGTGTCTGAATCCCACCCTTAATGGAATCCAATCTAAAAGGTCAATAATCTGCTTAAAAACCGAATAATTTGCTTAGCATTGAATCTCTTTTTTATTTGAAGTTCTCCGGAATCTTTTATTCTTGTAAAATTATCGGATTAAATCAATTGGTGTGTGTGAATTTGTAGACAGGAATGCAAACATGCCTGCATGTTATCTGGAAATAGAATATTTCTTTCAAAGAATAAAGCAAAAAATATTTTCAATATCAAGAACGAAAGGAGCTATAATCGTGGATTTTTAAACATATTTTTTCCAAGGACCAACAGAACTATATAGTGGTGGATTATTAAACACAGCTTTTTAAGGACCAATAAAGCTGTAGTCGCAAATTTTCAAACATATCTGTTCACGGACCAACAGAGATGTAATCGCAGATGTTTAAACATATATTTTCAACGACCAACGCAGGTATAATGGTGGGTTATTTAAGCAATCCACAACAACCAACGTGGATTAGTTAAACG